CTAGATATTCGATCAAATTCTACTTCAATTGTTGTGAAGATATGGAACTCTGAACGTTGAAACCTTGAGTGAAAGCTTGAAAACCCCAATTTTCGGTAACCGGTGGCAAATCCATTCGTTCCATTTAGAATCGAGATACGAATTCTCTAAGCATCTCGTTGTCCTTAAGCCTTACCTTGAATAGGTCCGACTTTCTTGTTGCGGCCTTAATGGCCCCGGCGTGTGCCTTTTACAAAAGAATCTGCAAGCATAGTAAACGAGTTAATAGAATTAGGAGGCAAATTATGATACCATATCATAGCACCCTTCGATAAAGTCTCCCCAAATTTTTTCAGCAAGACGAATTCGTTCTCATCATCTTCCAAGTCATTTCCTTTGATAGCACACGTGTAGGAGGTGACATGTTCGTTTGGATCAGTCGTCCCGTTATACTTAAGAATCTCGGGCATACAGAACTTCTTAGGGATTGGCTTCGGAACCACACTTGGGGGGAAAGGATTTTGTACAGACTTTTTGGAATCTAGTCCTTTCAATATTGGTGGTGCTCCCGGGATTTGGTCGACCTTGGAGTTATAGGTTTCCACCTTCTTATCGTTTTCCTCGATCTTCTTTTCCCCTGTCTCGATTTGCTTTGTCATTTCTTTGCGCATAGGATTGGTCTCCGATTCCTTCTCATTCGATTTCCTAGATGTTGATTCGACCTTGTGTACAACTTCCTGGGATGGCTCAAGTTCGACCCTGCTCGGTGTGTGGTTCTGATTTTGGAGCTGGGCTATCGCTGCCTGTTGGGCCTGCAACATTTCAAAGATCACCCGCAGGCCGATCCCGCCATCTTCACCGCCTTGTGTGTTCTAAGTAGATGATCGGGTACGCAAATGCTACTTTCGGGATCGACGACCAAATTTCCATTGATAGCTACATGCGAACTGACGTCGATTAGATTAACAGCCGGAATTCCATCGAGGCCAGCGGGGGGTACAACGCTTCCTGGTGCAATGTTCCCATTTTCGCCGTGCTGGCTGAGATCATTGTCAATGTGTTGAGGTGCTGACCGAGTGTTTGACATTTTTTAATCATGTAATCAAAGATACTTCAAAGAACAAGTGTAAAATAGTGTGTGTTATGAAAATTTGTATCAGGAAATCACTATTATCCTTAGCCCCACGGTGGGTGCCAAACTGTTTACCCTAGAAACGAATAATCATTGAATTTATATTGTAGTTTTAAGGACACGTGATTTTACTTGGCACAAACTGAGAAAAAATGCAAATTGATATTGAAAATAACTGCAAATAGAAATAAAGAAAACCAAAGGAAATATATAGCTTTAATCCTCGAGCTAGGTCGCCTTCGAATCAAACAAGTATTTCACTGGAAAGTATGAACAAAATAACAGAGTATTGAGAGCTTAAGAGAAAGACAGTATATTGCTTTGTATTGCATGAATATGATCTGCTTTACAAATGATCAGACCCCTTTTATATTGTAGGAGAGTCCTACCCTTAATACAATCCTAAATAAAATAAGAAATCCCATGATTAGCTGATTAATCGGCCTTTTCTTGATATGTGCCGAGATTTCCGCCGTGATCCTTGCCCGATCGCGGATATCTTCGCTTTCCTTTATTTGGCTCAGCAGGCTTCCCTCGATCTTGCTCGATCTCTATCCCGCTCGGTCTCGATCTTGGCTGATGTCGATCTCGATCGGTCTCTGAGTCACGAGCTTGGCAATCTAACGTTGTGTCACGGTCCGGTACGACATGGGGTCGAACCTTGGCCTGTCACGCCCCGATCTCGACTAATCCTACAAAAAGGACAAGCCCGATTTTGACCGTATACAGACATATATGAAATTCCAATTACATGCAAGTTGGTTTTCTTCCTTACTGTTTCAGCAAAAGCCTCTGTCATATCAAGGTTGTTTGGTTCAATACCATTTGGTAGTTTCCAATCAAAATGGAACAGAAGTTGAGCAAGTGGAATCTCAATATTTGAGATACCAAACAAAATTCTATGACATGCCCTTCTTCCAACACTAAAAGATATGAACTCAAAGTTATACCCTTTAAAATCAATTGGTATTTTTCTGGTACTCAGCATTTTCCCAGTACTTTGGATCCCTACATATTGTCCATGCATTAACCATTAATCTTGTTTTGGCTGGTATTTCATATCCGCCAATTTCGCATCTTTCCCTTGTTACTCTTGGTACTGATAGAGGTACGGGCGCGTGCAATCTTAGTGTTTCTGTGACGATCAATTTCAAGTAGTCTAGTTGTTGTACCTCAGACTCAGTGATCATACTTTTTCCTTTGAATGCTCGTCGCACCTCAGCTTGTTCTTGCTCCATCACATGTGGATTCTTCATCAGCTCTGCCATTGTCCACTCTAACGCTGTTGATGAAGTGTCAGTTGCAATATAAGTTTCCTGAAATGGTAGATACAATCAACAGAATGTAAGTTATATAGTATGACTATAGAAAGATTTTTACACTATCAGTGCATTTTAACCCGTGATAGTAGGTTAGTTACCATTCTTATGAGGTTATTAATTATCGCAATGTATGCATTTCTCGCTCTAAAATGAAGTATGAGTTTATAGCTTTACATAAGGCTGGAGAAGAAGCTGAATGGCTCCGAAGTTTCTTGAAAGATATTCCGTTTTGGACCAAATCAGTGGCTCCTATATGCATACATTGTGATGATCAAGCGACAATAGGTAGGGTTGGAAGCGTTATGTATAACGAAAAATCTGTCACATACGACGAAGACATAATACCGTTAGACAACTACTCTCTAGTGGAATTATCACAATTGACTACGTAAAGTCAAAAGATAATGTGTCACACCCACTTACAAAAGGCCTAAATAGAGAGGTGGTTGATAAATCATCAAAGGGAATGGGACTATGGCCAAGGACAAGTCACTGTGGCGGTAACTTTACCTAGAAAACTAGAGATCCTAAGATCTAGGTTCAAGGAGATCAAACAAAGTCATTAGTGACGGTTCGACATTGTTAAATAAAATTTTAGTCTATTCTCATGATAAGACAATGTTCAGTACCAAGGATAAAGCGTTAAGGTTTTTTTAATGGTTTCTAAGTTTGATACGGAGTATATCAAATAGTGTATCTATGAGATAACACGTTTAGGAATCACCTATATAAGTGTGAAATGTAGCCGCTTCAAGGAGAATTCTATAAGGCCAGTTCTCTACGCATTTATGAACCGGGCGGTGTTTATGGTTGAAACGAATACAACAATGAGAACCAGAGGCGGTTAAATGGTTGATTGTGTGACTTATGGCTGTCTAGGTATACATCAAAGTTCGACGGTTCAAAGATATCAAATCTACCGATTGATCGAGTATATCCGACATAAGTTCACTATGGAAAGTTCAAAGGGAAACCTACTTATCCAGATGCGATTTATCTTTACTTGTAAATCACACAGTTTTTCATGCATGCATATTTTCAGATAGCCATTCCCCATTCATGTGGGGGATTGTTGGGATTTTTATCTAATTAGATAAGAGGTGTGGATGGGAAATGCAGAGAAAAAATTTGGAGGGAAACGAAAAGTTTGAAGTGTTTTCCTGTACTAATGCACTTTGTCCCTCATTGGGAAATGGAAAGAAAATCTTTGTACTTATATGGAGAAGCACATCTTCTAGCTCTTAAAGAGTTAAGAAGAAGTGGTGCCTCGTGCCATCGTCGTCGTCACTCTCTCGGCTTCGGTTAATTGATATGATTGATTGATAATCTTTTGGACCAAATTTATTTCCCGTTTTTTGTTATTTATTTTCTTTTTCCTGATATTTTTGCGCGTATTTTAGTTCGCGGTTAATCTCCTAACGGTCTAACGGTCGTTTTGAGTTTAAAATTCGCGACCAGACTTCTGCCTTAATGGTACCTCGTATGAACAGGTACCTTCACACCTATTCAACCCAGACTGTTTGGCTATAAATTCAGAGGTTTTGCCTCATTTTTCAACACCGAAATTTGCACACTACCCCTTCTTTCTTCTGCTGCACTATTTTTTGAAAAGCAAAACGTAAGTATAAATTTGGTTTACTGTTGTTTGTTTAGTTTGACGAAGTTCTGTAATTTCCATTGCTGGTATTACATAATAGTTGTTCCTTTGGGGATTTATCCAATAACCTTGGGCAACAATGAGAGGATTAAATTCCGTAAAGAAACATAGTTTTCTGTTAGGCTCTGAGGTTTTATTTATTCTGTTTCTGCTTCTGTTTTGTTTTATTCTTTGCAGAAATATTTCGAACACATGTTTATAACAATGGTTTCTATAGAAAGTGATTCCTTTGTCTTTGAGGGCAAACATCAAATTACTCGATCATAAAGTTTGCTGTTTTTCGTCAGTTTTCTGTTATCTTCTTAAATGATCTGGATTTAGATTTTAGATCAATCACCTACTTCATAGCCAACCCTGCAATTATAGAGGAGTCTTATCCAATTCAATTTATTGTATCCTATCTCTATTTGATCTACATAGGTACATACATTGTCTTCCCCCAATCCGTCAATACATTTGATGACAAAATATTGTGGCATTTTTTCCACATTAGGCAAAATTTTATTGTTTTATCAACACCAAAGAAAGTCTCATAGCTGATCCTAACTTACTTGAGATTGAGGTGTAATTATTGTTATCAGCACCAAGAATCTGTTTAAAATTGGAAAACTCGTTTCCTTTTACACTGTAGGGAACTGAGGAAGTCAAGCAAAATTTCTAAATTCTGTAAAGGATAATCCTACATCGACTCTACTCCTGTATTTTAGGATTGTTGTAGCCAAAGGACTTGTATCCTTCTTGTATATCTCTAGGCATATGATTCTTATACATCTGGGAACTCACTGTATATATTGGGGTTGTGTAGTCATGTTTAAGTATGAGAATAAAAGAACTTTTCATGGTATCAGAGCCCTAAGAGGTTTAACAACCCAAGGTTGTCTTTACAGAAAAGAAGAAGACGGTGACTGGTATGGGGGATAAAACCAATCCTTCGTCCGCCTCTCAGTCTCCTATATCTTACTCTATACCTTCCCCAAATCTGTCACATCAGTTACCAGTAAAGCTCACATCCACAACCTTTCTGTTATGGAAAACACAGTTTATACCGATGGTATGCGACTGTGGACTCAACCATCATATTGATGGTAGTGAACCAGTTCCTGATACTCTTTTAGAGGACAGTAAACCAAACCCAACATATAAAGTGTGGGTAAGAGAAGACCAACTTGTATTAAGTTGGATTGTTGCATCAGTTTCAGAGGGTATTTTACCTCAATTAGTTGGAGCGCAGAGCGCTCGTGCAGCTTAGGATAAGCTTGTTGCTACATATGCTTCAGGATCGAAGCCTCTAATTCGTGAACTCAAGATGCAGTTGCATACTTTGCGTCGTGACAATGCAAGCATTAAATCTTATATACAGAAGGCAAAAGGAATTGCGGATAGACTAGCTGCATTACAACATCCGATTTCCAATGATGATTTGGTTGAATTTGTTCTTGCTGGACTAGGTCCTGTTTATCGTCCTTTTACTAGATCAGTAGAACCGCATCAAGAAGACATTACTTTTGATGCTTTATATGGCCTTCTCCTGAATGAAGAGCAACAATTAAAAAGAGATTAGACCATTAATGTCATTGCACTCACAGCCCACTTTGCTAAGAGTTCCTTTTCTAGCACTCGAGGACGTGGTAGAGGACGAGGAGGGCGTGGTCGTGGACGCTCCTCCAACCAAAGGTTCACCTAGTAGAATTCTTATCATAGTTCTCCAGCGTCTAACAAGTTTCCCAAGGCACAACCACAAGATTCAGAATTTTCAGGGATTATTTGCCATAATTGTAAAGGTAAAGGCCACATTGCACGTGTATGCCCGTCACTTAAAGCCAATAGTGGAAGCATGGTGAATGATCGACCTATTTCTAATTTTGCTGGTTCTCCAAACGCACCTGCCCAAACTTGATTGATGGATAGTGGCACCACATATCATATTACTGCAGACCTTGATAATCTAGGTATCCACTCTGAATACCAAGGTCCTGAAGAAGTGACACTAGGTAATGGCTCCAAATTACCCATCTCTCATGTTGATAAAAGTTCAGTTATTGTCTCTAATAATAAATTCAATCTTGATAATATTTTATATGTTCCCACTGCTACTCACAATCTATTATCAATTAGCTCTTTTGCCAAGTCTAATAATGTGTCTGTTGAATTATTTTCTAACCATTTTTTGTTTAGGGACGGCAACGAGGCAAATCCGACACAGGGGGTCCACGAGTGAAGGCTTATATTCACTTCCAGTGTTGAAATCGTTATCACCAGTTTCTTGTGCAGCTTCCCTTGGAGTTTGGCATGCTCGTCTTGCTCATGCATCCTATCCTACAGTTTGTCATGCTTTACCAGCCATTGCTCTCATATCATCAACGCATAAAAATACTAGTATATGTTCTACATGTGCTGTTAGTAAGAGCAATAAAATTCCTTTTAGTGAGCCTAGTTTTCAGGCCACAAGGCCTTTAGATTTGATATGTTCGGATGTTTGGGGCCCTGCTCCAGTAGTTTCACATGATAGTTATCGTTATTATGTCATCTTTTTTTATCATTTTAGCAAATATACTTGGATTTATTTCCTTCATTTTAAATCTGAAGCACTTTCAGTTTTTCGTTAATTTCATACCATTGTTGAGAAGTATTTTGGTCGCCCTATTAGATGTTTCCAAGTCGATTGGGGAGGTGAATTTCAAGCCTTAACAAATTATTTACCTGATAATGGAATTGTCCAACGTTCCTCTTGTCCTTATACACATGACAAAATGGTTGTGACGAAAGAAAGCATAAGCATATTGTTGAAACATGTCGTGCACTTTTTCACCATGCCAATGTTCCCCATTACCTGTGGACAAATGCATTTGAAACTGCTGTTTATACTATTAATCGATTGCCAACTCCCCGTTTAAATAATCAATCACTATATCGTATTTCGTTTCATATGGATCCGGATTATTCTCTGTTGCGTATCTTTGGTTGCTTATGCTTTCCTTGATTTCGTCCTTATACAAAGGATAAACTTTCACCTCGATCTCGCCCTTGCGTCTTTTTGGGGTACAATAAATTGCACAAAGGGTACAAATGCCTTGACCTGGTTTCTTCTAAAGTTTATGTTTCTCGTCATGTAATTTTTGACGAATCTACATTTCCCTTTCCTTTGCAGGACGGTGTGTTGCCCAAATCCTCAACCAAGGAAACATCTCATTCGCTTATCGTTAATCTTTCTTATCAGCAGACCCCATCAACCCTTAACTCATCACAAGCAAACCCGCATCAAACCCAAAATCCCTTGCCTCTGCCTTCTGTCATGCAGTCAGCACCTATTCCACCTGATAGTGTTGTTCATGGACAAAGTACTAGTACTGCCTCTCCATCTCCAATGGGCGTCCCTCTGTGTGAAGGCTAATCTTCTTATAATATGTCTGATACATCAGCTGCTCCATCTAGACCTGGAAACTCCATTGTTCCACTTACGCATGGAATGGTTACAAGAGCACAAACAGGCTCCTTGAAACCGAAGCGACCCTTTTCCTTGTTGGCAACTACATTAGTCTCACCTGAGCCCTCTTGCTATTCATAGGCCGCTAAGGATGTTAATTAGCGTCGAGCTATGTCAGAAGAGTATAATGCTCTCATTCAAAATGTCACTTGGCAACTAGTTCCTCCTTCACCATCCCAAAATGTGATTGGTTGCAAGTGGGTGTATAAAACAAAGTTGAAAGCAGATGGATCTTTGGATGACGGCTTATGGCTAAGGGTTATCATCAACGTCCGGGAGTAGATTTTCTTGATACATTCATCCCAGTTATCAAGGCTGCAACCATTCGGTTATTGCTATCGCTAGTTGTCACAAATCAGTGGCATAACACCCAGCTGGATATCTCCAATGCATTTCTTCATGGTCATCTCGACGAGATAGTTTATATGTCCCAGCCCCGCGCGTTCGTTGACCTTACTCGACCAGACCATGTATGTCTTCTCAAATGCTCTCTTTACGGGTTGAAATAGGCTCCCTGAATGTGAAATAGATGCCTCACTGATTCATTACTCTCACTGGGATTTTTGGGATCCAAAACTGATAGCTCCTTGTTTTTTAAACCTACTGCTGACAAGAAACTATTTTGTTTGGTTTATGTTGATGATATTTTAGTAATAGATTCAGATACAACTCTTGTAAAATCACTTGTAAATAAACTCCAACAACACTTTGCAGTTCGTGATCTAGGGACACCTTCGTACTTCTTGGGTATCGAAACACATTGGACGAGTGCTGGGTTGCATTTGACGCAAAGAAAATACATGGATGATCTCCTGAAACGTGTTAATATGGACTCCTGCAACATTGTTTCCACCCCAGCTTGTCCATTCACAAAACTCTCTTCCACTGAAGGATCTCAATACACTGATCCCACCCTTTATCGAAGTGTTGTGGGTGTCTTGCAGTACTTGACCTTTATTCGTCATGACTTAGCATTTGCCGTGAATAAGGTCTCTCAATTCATGCATTGCCCTATGGAAAAACTCACTGGACTGCTGTTAAATGCATCCTACGCTATATTAAGAGAACCCCGTCTAGGTTGTTCTTTGCTAAAAGCACATCCAGTTTATTGCATGGCTATACTGATTCAGATTGGGGAGGCGATATAAATGATCGTAAATCAACTACTGGGTTTGCTATTCTTTTGGTTCTCATCTCATTTCATGGACTTCGCGTAAGCAGCGAGCAGTGTCATGCTCTAGTGTGCCACCTCGAAAATCACTTGGATTGAGCATCTTCGAGAGATTGGTTGTTTTACTTCCTCTGTTCCCACTTTGTGGTGTGACAACCTCAGCGCGACGTACTTAACAGCCAATCCCATCTTTCACTCTCGAACATAACATATGGAAATTGATTTCCATTTTGTTCGTGATAGAGTTCGAACAAAGGCTTCATGTGTTCGTTATGTCAGCTCTCATGATCAACTTGTTGATGTATTGACAAAGCCATTGTCGAAGAACAGGTTTTTGCAGTTGCGGACCAAGTTGGCAGTGGTTTCAACCCCTGCTCAACTTGAGGGGGAGTGTAAAGGATAATCCTACAAGGAGTGTACTCCTGTATTTTAGGATTCTTGTAGCCAAAGGACTTGTATCCTTCTTATATATCTCTAGGTATAGGAGTCTTATACAGGGAACTCACTATATATATTGGGGTTGTGTAGTCACGTTTAGTATGAGAATAAACGAACTTTTCAAATCATACACATTTGTCAATAAATGACTGTGACCTTTATTTGATAGTTTTGTACAAATCCAGTTAGTTAGTGGATGGATATGTTGTATAGAATTGGTAGTATCTTAATATAAACTAGCTTCCATTGCATATACTAGTGAGCACCGAAGAATCCATACGAATTAATTGGGTGGTAGAGTCGTGAAAACACTTGTTTTTTTATATTTTGAACCTTAGCTCTATAGAAGAATATTTTATTATGAAAATACGAAAGAACTAAAATTTGAGATAAAAAACACTATGTATGAATTATATAAACTACGTCAGACCGCCACAACCACAGGTGTCAATAATTCAAGTCACCAATGATAACATAATTCAGACGATCAAACATATAATAAAGAAGATAAATCATCTCCATTAACCACATAGAATGATTCAAACATAAAGCTTGAGAAAATGAATAATCCAACAAAGAAGCTATTCAACCAACCTCCATAAATTCCCATATAGCTTGAGAGGCTACTGTTTTCTTGTCTCCTTCAACCAAGTTTCATATACTTCAATTATTATTTGAGAGTTGTGTTACTAATTTGAGAATTAAAATTTTACTCTCCAAATCTTCAAGATTCTCATACTTGACTTATCTTCTATGTTTTGCTTCTATCTTGAAATATACTCTTTGACCAAGTCAACAAGGGAGTGCACAAGAAGTAGCCTTTTGACTTGTTAAGTCAATCACTGAAAAATGGTAAGTAGTGCAATAATGGAAAAATTGATACTTATCTATTATTTGAATAAATTATTATGCCTCAAATAATATATATAATTTAAGTGGAGTACCTAATATGCTCTGTCTTTTAGCAACCAAACACTGATAATCATTTTATAGTAGTTCAATCATAACCTTGCATTTTAGGTTAGCCACTATAAATTATCTCTACTACCACCACCCCATCTTTGCAAAAAGAAAATTGTAATCCACAGGTTTTCAGAGTTTGGCTGCTAAAAGAAAAAAAGTTGTGTTTGATTATTGGAGACAATTAATTAAGCTCTCCTACAATAGCATTATTTGGTTTAGAGGCAAGTTGTATAGAATTGTAATGTAAAGATAAAAGAATATAAAAATTAGTAATGTAAGGATTGTATAATGCAAAATATTACTCGTTCGTTAGTTTGATGTATACGTAATAATATACAATGGATAATTTAACGTATTTGTTTAGTTAAATAAAAAAAATTTCTTACTATTATAAAGGTTAAAATTTATCGTTTTAGCATTTTAACTCATGTATTATTGACATTCTCATTTTATCACATTCTACTTCACTTAAAGTAATATAGTATATAGATTTCTGCATAATTTA